CACCTCTATATCATCTGCAACAATCGGAATAGTACCCTCAAGACACGACACGACGGTAGCTTGGCAATTTTCCAGATTGGCCTCCTCACTAGTAGGTTTTTAACCATGAGGTGTAAGAATCTGGGATATTGGACATGTGCAATACCATCCAGTGATTGCATCAATACTATAATGTACATATTGATGTGTTGTACTCCACCCATGTATAGTGAGATTTTGAGGACACAAAACTTGATTGGATTTTTACACAAATGAGGCCATCTTTTTTCCTTCATAACTATGATGGTATATACCCCATCTACATGCTTGAAGATGCTCATCTGTATTTTGTTTAGATTGGTTGACTTGATACACCCCAAAAGTGAGTTGACGTAAATCGTCTTCTGTCAAAACGGGGAAGTCGTCAAGAGTGTCCACATCGGCATCTACTAGTTGAAAATTCTGTTTGGATATTATAGCCTTATCAACTCCTTGGTCTTTGATTTTCAACATAAGAGCATTCTCCACTTTTACATGTTCGAACATATTCCTCGCTAAGGCTTCATCCCCGGATTTATTAGAAATTAGATCTGGTCTTAACCGATTGCATATACTTCATTTTATTTTGAGGTAATCCATTATCAATGGGATCTGGGTATTTGAGACAACATTATTGAAGAAAGCCCATTTTTCTTCCACTGACACTTTCAATTACCAATCTGATTTTTGTCACCAAACGCGTGCTATTAGCGATCAGTTGTTTCTTAGGGGGCACGACCTAGAGTCAACGCAGGCATTTCTGTTAATATACTACACTCAAACAAGAACTCCAGCACATCATGAAAACCTCTATCAATAATGATTTAATACTCTCCATGTGAGACTTTATGATATGCTCGGTAATCTTTGAGTCATTGTAAGATGCAAAATATGGACCTAGAATAGACATTAGGTAGCCTGTTGTTGTACATATGACATTGGCACTTTTTTCAATAAAGATGCATGTTCCATCAAGGACCAACATCACACCATCAGATGTATCAAAAAGGATCTCGGCTATATCTGAAGAAAGAGATTTCATAATTTCCTCACGTAATATATGCTCAAAACTAATGTCATTTGGAACAGACTTGGTCATTAGAGTGGATCTTGCTGCATGGATCTGAATTAAGCACATTTTCCTCTTAATCGTGGGCACATTTTTGGCTGTGTAGCACAATTTAAATTTTTGTGATAAGACCGGTTTTCCTATGGCCAGGCTCAATTATTGTGCATGAGGATTCCTAAAATAGTTTATATTCAAGTCGACGTCAAACCATGCGCCACATTCATCTTTCATAAACTAGAACTTCAGCAAAGATTAACATATCGATATTTTCTTTTTATTGATATTTATCCCAGATACCAAATTTAAAGAAACAACATGACAATGTTGAAGCTGATTGTCGCAACTGTATTGCTTCTCCTTGTATACGAATCGTTAGCACAAACCACAGTTGCAACCAATGGAACAAATGGAACGAGGTTCGGAAATGAATTTATTATTTTATTTTTATTATTATAGAATTGTGTCTGCTTTGTCGATTGGGTCATTTTTAGCGCCTTATCCATATGATTATGGATATTCGTCGCAGTAAAATATACCATTACATTTTTTCGCATTTTCATCAGGGAGGGTTGAGATGCAAGGATGGTCCGATGCCCTCCACACCAATAAAAAGAATGCCAATCTATACATTAAATAGGGAAACTTTACATAACGTCGGTAGAATATTAATTTTTATCACAAAATATGTCAATAAGGTAAAACTGGTTCAGAATAGATCGAGGCTTTCCTTGATTACCAGGAAAAATCAGCACGTATCGGTAAAACGTCCAAATATAATTTATTACAACATAATGGTCGAATTTCCATAGATTTTCACGGCCAATAGTAAGCCAAGATTTATGTAACAGTAGTAGTTTGTTGGAGACAGACAAAAGGTATATACGTTTGTGATCAAGTGTTTAGATATTTTCATGATAAAAACGGAAATTGTCTTATTCACAGGCTGGTATCGAAAAATGTATCCGCTGTGACGGAGCGTGCTATTTTGCATAGAAACACTAGGAAATCCACACAATTTATTTTTTTACTCATATGTTTTGCTATATCAAAGAAAATTACTAACTCCATGCAATGAATATATCATTTGCGTGTAATTTCTGTTTGAGGTTCAACAACGCTAAGAGTAAAATCTATTGAAAACGGCGTCGGAGTATCATACTCCAAAATGTACAATTTTTATTTCTTTTTAATGGTACAATATAGCGACACGATAATATTTACATATGTCTTCAGCATAACTCTGAAGGTATTAATGAGATCTTTATGTATAAGGTATTTTTATTTTTTTTATAAAAAAATAATGTTTACATTTTTTGTCCGCTGTGACGGAGCAGTTTCAAATCTGAAATACGTTAAGAATTTAGATTTATAATATATGTCTTTACAACTACACTTTAGAGGTGCGAGCGTGTCAAATCTCTTTCGTAAAGTATTCTGAAAAATGAAACGTAATACAAGTACACAATTCAAATTCTGAGATGTATATAGTGTACGACCACTCTTTAAGCTTCTTTTCTCAGTTTGTACTGCAATCCAACTTATGCTTGGTAACTCATGAAAATGATAGTCAACTTCATTTCAGTATAGGGTATTTGCCTTTCGTAGTGCCTACTGTGGATCCATAACCTGACATGGTCATTTTTTACTGTAACTTGATTATTTGAAGTAAAATTATTTGCTGAAGATGAAGCTTAATACATAGTATATTGGTATGGACTGCGGATTGTTCTACCCGCTTTAGTCGTTCCAAAAGGTAAGTGAAATGTATCTTGAAATACGAAAATGAAAATTTGATTTTAAGATTGTTCTTTATTTGAGTTATGGCTATCTGGTGCAACTACAGTAGAACATGTGTACAGTGAACACACATGAAGCCCACAAATGTGTTCCCAGTTGGTAGATGTTCACTCCATAGAGGCAATTTCATACAGAAGTCAGAGGAATATTTGATAAGAAGAGGTCACTTGAGAAAGATATTGATTGATACAGGTTTTACAACAGCACGTTTACATCGAAACATTGCTTCTAGCCGATGCCGGCTTATGAGACACCAGGTTAATACATGTATGGGTAATATTAAATTTCCGATGTGAAAATTACTAAATGCACAATAAGACAGTGATAAAGACCACGACTTTTGTATACTGAGTTCACTGTTTACTTCCACGTACTAAGAGGAGACATCTTCCCCAAGGTTGATGTTCCTGGGAGCAAGCGGAAAAAGAAACCCTGATTAATCAGTGATGTAAGGGCCCTCTGGTTGGCCCAATACCCTCCTGAGGGGTCCCCCACATCACAGTGGATTTACAGGTTTGCATCTTGTATATATTTTGGCAGTATCACAGTTCTAAATAGTATGTAAAAGTGCTGTAAAGTGGCAGAATCAATATCATTCGGCCTTCATCCACAGACAAGCTACTATACAATATGTATTAACAAATAGAATACAGTATGAGAAAATACAGTTTGTTGTTATCTCAAATAGAGGTACTGTTAAAGTCTTTCCAGATCAAAGTTCCTTTTACTGAACATCTTAGATAACTTGCAAAAGCTCTCTGTATACATGGCGTGTGCATAAGTCTAGTAAACAGCAAAATATGATCATTAGAGTCACATAAAGCACATTTTCGATCCTCAAGAGGTATATAATGCACAAGCAGAGACAACTGCTTTTATCAAATCATTCATCTTGATAATTTTGTGATGTTTTCCACTAATTAATCATTTTACGTAAAATATGAATGTAACTCTCTTTATATAAAGAAGCAAATGAATTATACATACATACATACATCCATACGATAGCCATATTTTTGGGAAACGGCCCATCGTGTGTTCAACCGTTCGCCGTCGTTTGCCAGCCATTATATTAGCCTCACGGTCGAGCTTACACAGCAAGCTAGTGTGCTATACTGTAGTTGCTACTTTTGAAGGTGGGCTTGAGTTTGAAATCTATTGAAAATCTTTCAAAATTTGAATAGATGGCGGAAAAGTTTGTCATGTCTTTTTATTCCAATGGCCTTACTATGCAAAAACATTTTCGGTTTTGAAGGGGATATATGGAACTATACAGTGGTATATGGGGTTGGGTACCGAAATCCTCGTTTTTCATGGTCAATTCGAAGATTTCAACATTTTCCCATTGGATTGTACCCAAATCCAATCAGAAACATCAAGTTTTAGTGACATTTTAAACCCTGGTATTAACTATACCGTGGTATATGGGGGTTGGTACCGAAAATCCTCGTTTTTCATAATCAATTCGAAGATTTCAACATTTTCCCATTGGATTGTACCCAAACCCAATTAGAAACATCAAGTTTAAGTGACATTTAATACAAATTATCAAGTCTCAAAAGTTATTTTCATATATACGTTAAAACAGAAGCTATCAAACAAATCGAAGTGAATTTGGTTTGCTATACACATTGTCAATTAATTGAAAATTAATTGGTTTTATGTGCATTTTATGGGAGTGGCGATTGTCAGAATTAGATGTAAACAAATTGGTTGCTAGGAAGTAGAGTTGAATGTAGGTCAACGCACATGCGCAGAAGAACGCCATTTTCCATCCATTTCTTGACACAAGGAGAAAGAAGTTTGTTATCTGAGTGAATCTCGCCCGCCATCCCCCCCCCCCCATTGACGACCCATGAATTATCCCCCAACTAAGGTGAGATCAAGAATTGGTAAGAGAGATATTGTTAGTGGTACATGAAGGTAAGCAACTAAAGTAATCACTATTGTACTGGTCAGATATTCTATTTTTAGCTAATTAGAAAACATAAACTAAAATGTGTAACAATAAAAATTACTCCATAAGAAACCCACATAAACCAAAAAAGACAAATAAATTCGTTGTCAGAAAGGCACCTCATTCCCTGATTCGGCGAATCCATCGATATTCATTTATTCACAATGTGTTGAAATCAGGCAATATATTTCTATATTTGAATATTTCATTTGCTCTCTGTTCCCCGTGATAGCGTAAAATCTCAGACTTTGTATATTGTTTGTTCTTTAGCACCCTCACGTAATCCTGGCTAGATGTGAGCATAAGAATACAATCGTCAATAGTTAGAGAAACATCCGTCTTGACATCATATAGAATAGTCTGTGTCGATGGCTCCCTAAATTCATAGACGCTCTCGTTACAAACAACAGATATTCTTTGTAATAATGTTTCATAATTATTCAATTCGTCGAAGAAACTTTTTCCTTGTTGCGTTATTTTAGACCAGAGCGACTGGTTGTAATGGTCATATAGTATATAATCTATGGTGTTCCATTTTTCATATCGTTTTACATCGCTTTCTTTGTAATCTGCATACTTATTTGGATAGGAAGCTATCTTTTTTGAAACATATAATATATCCTTAAGGTTCCAGCATAATAAACGTTTCATTAGTAAAAGAGACATATTGAGGTATTCACTTATAAGAATGATGGAAAACGTTTTATCTAATCGCTCAATCAGGTCAATTAACGATTGCTGGGAATGCGAGAGAGGATTGTACCCATAATGCCAGGCCTGATATCCTCGTGTAAAAGACATACCAGTGGATCTACTATTATCATACGTTGCTGGATCAGAAAGAAAAGTGCGCACGTCAGGCATGTCATTGAGTTGCTCCAAATTGAAAAAGTTGTAAGACGAGAGTAAATGACTGAACGGGTGTCTAAATGACCCTACGAAAACAGTATCCGCTGGCATTACGTCTCTCATATTTTCCTCGTGGAACACTGCGTGGTTAACTAGAAGATTGAACTCAGATCTACTCTTTGGCTTTGGAAGCCCTCCTTTAAATCCAGATGGGTAGCCAATGTTGACAAGTTTATTGGGCAATACAAATGTAAGATTTTGAGTATAGCCAAAGCGTTGGAATATATTTGATACTGTTGAGCTGGAACTTTTGTGAACTTTAATGTAACAAATGTTGATAATTTGTTTGCACATTGGCTCGTTTGCATTAGTGTTATCGATGAGACGACTGGTATTCCTGTCAGAATTATTGGAAGCACCTCCAGGGTTATCAGTTGTCGCTTGCTGATTAAAATGCGCGGTTGGAACAATCTCAGCTGACATGTCACTAGAACTATCGTCTTTTTGATCGCCAACCATGCCCAAACGAGGTTCGCTTATAAAGGAATTGTTCTTTTTGAGACGTCTCATGAGGTATTCCTTTTCGCTTGCGTTGCTTGCGTTGCCTTTATTAACGCCGTATTTAAAATCGACCGTATCCGTGTCTACTTCATAACGAGACTCCTCATCTTCGATGCCATTTATAGTTTTGTATCCGGGAAAACTTTGTAAACTAGGTCTTTGAAGAGTTGCAATTGAGTGGAAAAACAATACGACTAGAAGTACTAAAGTACACACAGTTAGCAGTTTTACATTTACCTTTACCATCGTCTAGTAACACAAACCTTAATATGCTCTAACGTTGAATGTCAAACAGCTAAAAGTCAATTTCTATCAGATGGTAATAATTTGTCTAATAGTATGATGAACAGAATATTTAGAGTCGCACAATTGTAACGCAGATGTCCCTTCTCGTTCCAAAATGGATGAATATTGATCAACCGTTGTTTATTTTGCTCCCATGATAACCGAAGAAGGATTAACCTAATCGTTGTGCAATGCCTTTGCGGTGTTTTGAATTGAAATAGTGACCCTTGGATGGATTCTCTGTACGTTTGAAATATTGGGGTTCTATTTTATTCGATTGGTATTCTTTTGTATTACAGTCGAGACAAAACATTTGGGTGCAATGAAAAGTATACTCAGTGTACTTGAAAATGTTGAAACGATAATACATATTTCTCAGCCATCCAATTGGATGCAATGAAAGTAGGAGACAGCGGAGAAGAGGAAACCCCCCAAGACGAATCACTAATACGCTGAAATAAATTGTAGACTACAAATATTAATATTTTCCCTTTGAAGAAGAAAGGGCTATTGTAGTAGAGAACTACTCTGAATCGTAGGTTTTACATTGGACTCAAAGGATTGGAGGGAAGAGGGGCCACTGTGAGGAAAGATCCCCCATTGAATCATTATTGATTAAAATTAGGAAAACCATAGATATAAAAGCAAAATACATGTGTATCAGTACTTATTCAATTAACTTAATATTTAACTTTTTTGATAAATGTCGGCTTTGTAGAAAAATACATGGATCTTATTATATAAGGGTTATGTACTGGGAGGTTTTGGATATGGGGTTTATCCAGAGGGAGATATGCATAGTGCATATCTCACGAGGGATGAACCCAATATCCAAACCGACCCGTACATAACTGCTTTATCCTATACCAAGTAGAGTTTTCAGGAGCATATGGCCATTTCAAGAGAACAAGGTGTAAAAATAAACAAGTCATTCATATACAAAGTCATTTTATTGCATTGCTACTTACCGGAAGCGGGAAGATATGCACCGAAGCGGGAAGCTATGCACCGAAGCGGGAGATATGGCGGGAGATATGGAGGTTCTGGATATGGAAACCTCAAAATCAGGATACGGGATATCTCTTACCAACGTATCTCCCTAAAACTTTACTTGGCACAGGATAAATAAGGGTTATGTACTGGGAGGTTTTGGATATGGGGTTTATCCAGAGGGATATATGCATATCTACCTGAGGGACCGTAGGGACCGAAGGTAGATGTGCATATCTCACGAGGGATGAACCCAATATCCAAACCGACCGTACATAACTGCTTTATCCTATACCAAGTAGAGTTTTCAGTGAAATTACCGGAAGCGGGATAATATGCACCGAAGCGGGAAGATATGCACTGAAGCGGGAGAATTGGCGGGAGATATGGAGGTTCTGGATATGGAAACCTCAAAATCAGGATACGGGATATATCTTACCAACTTATCTCCCTAAAACTCAACTTGGCATAGGATAATGAACAAATATTTCACTCTATTGAGGTGAATACCTGTACATCTTTCACAAGTGATATTCCACGAAGCCCGAAGGGCAAGTGGAATATCACCTTGTGAAAGTGCTACAGGTATTCACCGAAAATAGAGTGAAATATTTGTTTTATTATATCACTGTCTAGCTAAACATCCATAATATTATTAAGTCATGGGTTCACATTGAAATACATTGAATCTACTCGGTTCGTCTGCCATTTTGACTTACACTGAACGAAAACAAATTCTTTGGAAATTCCCGGGAGCGTGGGATATCGCTAGATATCTCACGGTTGTCTTATCTGATTAGCATTGCCATTGAATATCGCCAAATATCCCACGACATGTGACCCGGTTTTGACCAATCATACTGTCGCTAGCTAGATAGTGATATAATAAAGCGTGATATTTGATCCAGGTATACATATTTTAAACTGAGCCAGTATATAATATTTTAAACCTTTTTATCAAGGGTTCGTGTAGAGCAATACATTGAGTCTTACAAACCGATGGTATGCCAATTAATGAGTCCTTGGTGGTCTTGCGCTCCATTTGTATAACAGCATTTTTCTTCAATGTCTTATTATCATGATTGGAATAACTTGTTCAAACATAATACTATGTACAACATCTACCAGTGGCAATGACAGGCATGAGCCGTCTGAAGAAAAAATATGTGTATGATTTTGACAGTTCTAGGCCATAATGAAGTACTGGACAGGTAAAGTGGTATTTGACATATTCAAAACCTTTTTTAATGGATCTCAGTTCTAGCGGCGCCTCGTTTCTTATTCATATATTTATGTATTAACCTTAAATAAAGAAGAAAAATCATTTCCATTTCTCCGTTTCAAAACATCTACACCACAGGACTAAAGATAACGAATCTGGAAGGAGATGATTAGAAATTCGACCATTTCGACCATTTTGATACGAGATGCGTTTATACGCACGGGGTAGTTGACACACATTGAAATACCACGAACCATTGATTTTCTATCTCGTTTTGAAATTTTTGTAATGGCATTTATAGATATGTCATATATCATGATCGGTCTTCATCTAGGTCAAGGATGATACTGCAAATGAATAGCATTTTAATTACAGCTTCACGTATAATGTCACCGAATACAAGGTGTGTATAAAAATGAAACATCTGTTATGCCATAACCCCGAGCGCTAGAAATGATCCAAATCCAATAAATTATCACCACGGCTAAACCACTTTAAAAGTTCACAGAAGGTCAACTAAATGTCATATTAATGTTACCTAGAAAATGTATTGCTATTTAATTCAAAAGAGAAACATATATGAACACAAACGTCGAATGTGTATGATGTTAAAGAAAACGAATGGGGTAACACGTTCCGATTGACTCGTTTGTTTTCAAACTAATTATGATATTTTATGCACTTATACTGTATTATACATGACAGTTGACAGAATGACCCTTTTTGTCCCAGGGTTCGAATGCACCATTGGAAAGGTGACAGTATCAGTCCGCACTTTCTTAAAAACGGGAGAAAATAATTTTAAATCCAAATTTTCTCAAATTTCAATTGTATGCCTAACTCGTATTTTTTGCAAGGACTTGGATGGATGGATATTCTGTCATATGACTTGCGGCAAACCTACCATTTCCCATTGGTTAACATGGGAATGTCGATTTTCAAAAATTCATCAAATTTATCACCAATTTTCGACTTATTGTAATTGAGGGAAAAAATTGAGAAAATTTGGAGGTATTGGAAATAAAGTCAAATTACGTTTCCGTCAATAGTATAAGTATTTTCATCACAGGTTAAGAAAATAAAAATTCAAAGGTAAAGAGGCTTTATCACGTAGTTCAATGGGGGAGCTAAGGTTACAAAACTTATGGAGGGGAGTGTACTGTATGACACATATTCAGCAATGAATTGTGTCCAAACATCATATAAAATTAGTGTTGATTTTTCAAATTTGGATTTTTTCTGAGCTCCACCTTGTTGCGTCACCGGTTACCATGGTAACATAAATAATAGGATAATGATGTCAGAGAACAATGAAATCTTCATGGTGTGTTCATATATATATTTGTTCCTATTATATTGTTTGAAAAAATCACTTAGAAAGGATACAAATGGCAAAAATAGAGCCAACGGTCCAGAAATTCCTGATCACCCATCGTCCGTGCTGATAACTACCACGTTTAAGATTCGTGTCTACGAGGAAAGGTGAAGAAGGCACATTCACTCAAAAGCGTAGTCAACAATCTGAATTAATCAGATGCGAGTTGGTAGTTACTAGTTTCTCCACTAGGTGGCTGATTCGGGGGAAATAACATGGCGGGGTATTACAAAATTCCTTTTAACTTGAATATTCATCAGTTTTAGTGGTTCACTTTTCATATTACCCTTATGTATGTGATAGTTATACAAATTAAAATATGTCCATTGTCCAGTAAGAGAAAATATTATCTGCACAACACAAGAAAAGATATTTCACTTTTTGTGGTTTTACAATATGGTGTCTATTGGGAATCTCCCCGACCGAGAAGACACATTTTCAAAGAAAAAGTTTCATAGTTGATAAACATGATAAACTCTTTGCAAAACCACATTTCTAGATGTAATTTTACATGTAGATTCCAAATATGACATCAGTTTTTCTGAATTGTGAATTTTAATGACGTAAATCAAGATCATTTCTACTCGTATCAAGCATATTCACTTTAAACATACTGTACCTCTTGTAAGAACATTTTCCTAAATGATATCAACATGTAAAATAAATTTGTGAAAAGGCATTTGGTGCAAACATTTACATATTCCCCTTGTGGTCCAGGTGACACATCCTAGTTTTGAGCATTTTAGTCGTCTTGGGAGAGATTTTTGAAAATAAAGAGATCCGTGGACGTTATATACATTGTATTTACTGTGGATAAATGTTTGTGAGATACACTTTTAATATTTAGATGAACAATTGCAACAACATTGTTGCATATATACTTATTTTGCCGTGACATATAATCTTACATTCTTAAACGTTTAAAATTGGCGTCTTGACTCTATAGTGTTTGTACCAGCTATCATCTTCGCACGCTTGGCTTTCACTGCGTTCGATGGGAACCTAATCAAATCACGTCTGATTGATTCTTTTCATTCATGCCAATATCCAAAATCAAATTCATTCTCAAAATTAAATGGAGGTGATATTGTAAGAATACAGTAAATAGGGAAAAGTATTTTTGCTTGGAAATGGATAAATAATTGACATTGATATTGGTTATTTTTTTACAGGGACAATAAGTGTAACATTATGGCGTCAAAATACCGAAACATCAATCATTTTAACGTCAAAAACGACAAGCGTTGCATTTTGTCAAGCTTAGTCGACCTAAAAATAGAATGCTTTGGTCTTATTCAATCCTAATGAAATTCACAGAGTAACAAGATCTCGAGGACAATATTTCTAAAATGTTTTTGATTTTTGAAAAACGGTCAGGAAATTTACTTGAGGCGTTAGTAAAAATTGATATGCATGGAATTTGAGGTAAAAATGGATGCGTTACATTTCATCAAGTCTCGTAAATCAGCTCTTATTTAAAGGAGACAGTAGCCCGTATTTCTCGAATTGTCCCCAGGTCCGTGCACGTCATAACTGCCTTTAATTCTAAAATACACACATTATAGTATGAGACCAATCTCTGACATATTCATGGCACGAGCAAATCATATCCTAAAGTGCTTCAGGAAAGTTGTCAAAGAATTTGGCTTATCTATTGCTGAGAAATTACTTGTCAAATTGCTTTTCATGTTTAATGAAGTTCTCATTGCGTTGCTCCGGTGTGAGATGTTATGACATGCCATCTTGAATTTCTTAGTACTCACATAACATTTACTTGATATTTTTCATATTTTTGTTCCTTGGTAATGATACTTTTGGGCTACATTACATACACATTGTCAGTAAATGTTGCCGAGATGATACTTGCCAGAAATTGGCTCATTTTTGGACATCCAATATTTCAATTTTGTTTAAAAGATAATGGAGTTATACTAAATTAAAGGATATGTATCGATATGGAGAACTGAATTCAACAATGTTTTTCTCTTAAACCAATCATTGAAAACATTGTGTAAAAAAACATGGTATTTTATGTAATGTTGACTGTTTGACAACAATTTAATGCGAAAATTATTTAGAAATATTTTATACTTGTATAACTGTTTTTGGGTAACATTTTTTGTTTTTTTAGTGCAATTGTTTTTGCTCCTTTCTACCAATTCTTGAGAATGAAATAAAATGTCTTTCCGAACCTTTTGGAACAAAATAGCATATACAACATGTTTTTAGATCTCTCAATTTTGTAATTGTACAAAGGAAATTTTGGGTTGATTTTAAAAAAGTATTCAAAAACGTAAAACAAAATCACCCCAAAATAGATAAAAATCAAGAAAAAACTTTTATTTCATTAACAAGATACTTTTTTAAAATCAACCAAAATTTCCTTTGTACAATTACAAAATTGAGAGACCTAAACATGTTGTGTTTATGTCGGTTTGTTCCAATGAGGTTCGGAAAGATGTTTTATTTTACTCTGGAAATATGATACCAAGAACAAAACAAGTGTTTGATGTGTTTTTAAAACAATATAGATGAAAGTATGTATATCTATTTCAAATTATATTGTTACCATTCAAAAGATGGCCATTAAATTGACAATTTGTAAGATTTTCAGAAATTTTTGATGACTGGTTTAAGAAAAACGTATGTTCAAAAAGTTCGCCATATCGTACTATTTATTTTGCAATTTCCTGAATGCATTGCAATTTTTCAATTTCGACAACTTAAGAACCAGTGACCCTCCGCAAGAAAGTCAGATCCTTTAAGCAGGCATTCCAACCTTTCAAATTGTATATTTGAACATAAAGATAAAAAAATTGCATGTGTCAAGCAGATTGTCAATGAATCTCTCGTTAGCTCAGCTATTAGTTTATGTGTGTCACGTAGAGGGGCTGTTCAACACATGTTTTGACGTCACTGATAAAGGTGCAAATATTATTTTATGTGTTTGAAACAAGTTATAAAAAGGACAAAGTGTCGTGTTTAAAGGACCTGTGTATATCAAGATTCACAAACACGTGTCATGATGTTATTATTATAACTGGGCTATTTATACCAGGCTTAGAGAGATCATGCGCTTCTTTTATCCTTATGACCATAAGAACACTAAAACAAGTTCCAAGGAATTTGTGACAAATCTCGAGTATTTTCGGACAGGTTTCAATATTTTTTCATTTTTATTTAAAACATAATAACCATGGGATCTTTAATTTTTTAACATAAAATATGTTAACATCAATTTGAATACTGCAAATAAACTCTGCTTGACATTTAATAACTCATTTCTTCTTTACAAAACGGACATGTTTTAGTTACAATCGAAATGTCTGAAATCGAAGAATAGAGGAACATTGTACAAAACAACATGGCAATGTTGAAGCTGGTTATCGCAGCTGTATTGCTTCTCCTCATACATGAATCGTTCGCACAAACTACAGATGTATCTAATGGAAAAAATGGAACAAGGTACGGAAATGAATTGATATTTAATATAATTACGGAGGTGCGCCTTCAATTGACGCTCTAATATTCGTCTGATTCATTCAGTAAATGTTATAAAAATAACATCTAGCTACCTCATGGAGAATGGATTGCGATTAATGATTTCCATGACAGAAAACTGTTTATATTAATTTAAAATCAGACCATTATGTTAAGATAAATCATTTGTAAAATGTATATTATCGCATGTTAATTTCACTTTTTATACAGGAAAATGCCCAAAATGCGTGACACCCTAAAGCCCGAGTTTGATTGTTCTACGGCAACCGCCCGTCGGCTGATGTTCTCTGAAATCAGTTTTAATTTGCCGCAACCATAGGAAAGCGCGGTCGCCTCTTATTGGTTACAATTGACATTTGAGAACAGTGGCCGCAGAAATTCTATGGCAAATTTAGGATATTTTTGGCCTCAGAAATGATAGCCCGTGCGATCGCCGTAGCAAATGTGACTAAGGCTTAAGTCACTTTGACGACCCAGTTTTACCCTATTGACATACTTTCTGATAAAAGTCCCTATCACACCAAACTAGTTCTTACCCGTTCTTGCCAGTCCTACGAAAACGTCGTAAAGCGGGCTCAATCTGGCTGTGGTCGGGAAATATGTCTAAAATAATTAGCTACTTCGTTCATAAACAGTCTTCAAAACGTCCATCTCATTCGCAGTTCGTTCAGGTCGCACCACGTCGGTGTGCAACGTTGTAGAACGCATCCCTTAGTCTAGAAGGTCAACATGACCTGATTACAGAACGGCATGGTCGCCATCGAATTTTGAATCGATTCAAAATTCTAAAATCATATTCCCGTCTGAGAACGTTCATAAAGTTCGTAAATGGACCTTAGAAAATTGCAGCTACCCCGTCCATTCTGTTCGCACACCGTTTACAACCAGTTTTGAAGAACGCAGTGGCAACTTGTTTGGTGTGATAGCTATATTTTTGCTAACTCGTTCATAAGCAGTGTTAAATACGTTCTTAATCAGTTTAAACCCGTTTGCAATTAGTTCTACCTCGTTCTCAACACGTCCTCAGACAGTTCAACTCGTTGTTAAAACGGAAGTACGACGGTTCCGTTCGTAGTACGTCCAGCTCGTCGTTAGTACGTTGTCACTCGTTCTAATTGTAGAACGTGACGACCACGAGAACATTTTGAGCATTGTCTAAGTTCTAGAGCACCTACCCGTTCGAGTACGTTCGATGAAGTTTGTAAATAGACCCCAAACGGTTCTAAGTACGTCCAGTCCGTTCGTACACAGTTGAAGCCCGTTTTCGAGAACGTAGTGAGAACTAGTTTGGTGTGATAGTAGGGTTAGCACAATTAGTTTTTACTACCCCATAGATTTGCTGGCTGAAAACTGAACAAAACAACTCCTTTAGGCGAGAATTTGGAAAAAGGTTTCGATGATAAAGAAACCATACTAACTGAAACTGAATTTTTTACAAACGACCGGAAACGGTTCAATTTAAGACATTTATATATTTGACTAAGAATATATTCTGGTAATAATTAAATACAACATTATATAATACAATCCTATTTTTCCAAGACTTTTATCTTCGATGTAGGTTATCGGGATAATAAATACAAATCCAACTCTCATAAAAACGATCGACAATTTTTTCAAGAAGTCGAACTTATTTTATAGGTACCCTTTACTTTTTCATTCTTTGCCTTATCAAAAAACCTTCTAAACTGTATGTCTGTAACTTCTGAAAAGGAACGGCGTCGAAATGCGATGGAGTTGAAACCAACTATTATTGTTTCCATATCGAAAAATCATGTATACTATTTCTATCCAAAAAGAAATTTTGGGATTCATTATATTTTGCTAATATCAACTCTATACATCATAAAATATGCAAAACTTAGACATACAACGGACATCAGATAGTAAAAAAACGTTAAAACTATCGTTCAGTGTCACAATATCATATTTTCAATTCACATTCAAACTAATAATATATTAGCGTATTTTTTTGCAAGGACTCTGGTCGATGGATATTCTGTCAAATGACTTGCGGCAAACCTATTATTTTCCATTGGTTAACATGGGAATGTCGAATTTTAAAAAATCATCAAATTTAGCATCAACGTTCGACCTATTGTAATTGAGGGAAAATTTGAGAAAATTTGGAGTATTGGAAATAAAGTCAGTTTGCGTTTCCATCAATATTATAAGTAATTTCATCGCAGGGTAAGCAAATACAAATTCAAACGTAAGAGGCTTTAACACGTAGTTCAATGTGGGAGCTAAGGTTGCTAAGCTTATAGAGGGGAGTGTACATTGATTCGCCAAGTATCGTGGTTCAACTCTCAAATGTGAAAAATTACAGGCATTTTAAAATTTAGTGTTTGATCAAAATTGGGTTCAATTTTAAACCAAATCACTAATTAATGTGTCCTCCCGGGCCATCTTAACAGCAGCAACTCTTTTCGATCGGGTCGGATTGATATTGAGTTGGAAAAAGAGAACGGTGAGGGTACATACTCCTAGGAAACTCTTCTCAAAGTGCCTTAACAGGTTTTAAGAGGATTCTAAAATTCCACACCCTTATTAGAAGGACTTTTGAAGTCATATCTGAAAATAATTGCTGCTGTTAACATGGCCAAGGGGGGACACGTTGACTAGTAATGTGGTGTAAAATTGAACTTTATTTCGACAAAACACTAAATTTTAAAATGACTGTAACTTTTTCCCATTTGAGTCTTAAACCATGATACATGGCAAATCAATGTAACTTTGGATAATTTTCAAATTGATATATGACACATGCTATGAGGACACTGGTATATGTCTGCCAAGGGGGCCCCATACTTTCGGGACACCCTGTACATGGTCCTCTTATCGGTCAGGTATTTTATTTTTACACATTTTATATACTATGTCAACTGTAATAAATAACCATATATTTTTTAAAAACATGCGGTAGTTTTACAGTAATCATTTTTAAAATGCCGGGAGTTTTGACTGCAGATCTTATAGAAAGCATTTAATTACTTTCCCGTTATTGAAAAGCGATATTTTAACGGTAGATTTTTTGTTAACGGTAGTTTTGTAGTTAAAATAGAAACTGATGTTTTACGGTAGACACTTTTAAAAAGGGCCAATGTTTATTCTTAGAACGGAATATTTTGGAAGATTTATTTAAAATGTTAATGTTCGGTAGACTTTAAAAAGAACCAACTTTTCAGAGGTTTTATAATAAACTATTTTCCCAATTAGGATTTTATTAATGTGATAAAAACGTATGCAATGTTCAGTTTCTGAATCGATTTGATTTCACCAGAAGGCAAATTTCGTCCTGGTAAGACGACATTCAATATGAGAGTATTGTCAGTTTGAGAGTATTGCTTTCCATTGGTGCTCTTTGTGAGTGGTTTTTGAATTACGGTAAAAATGCTCATAACATCGTAAGTCTTGGAAGAAGATATACACATGTTGTAAGACTAAAAACTGCAAGTGAAATTAGAAAAGTAAAATATCCACCCGAATATCCATTTTCACAGAGTTATCAACATTCTTATTTTTGTGGAAAATTGATGAACTTTTATTGACGAATATTGAAAAGTACGTCGGTCGAAAAAGCTGTAGATTTTCAAAAACATACCTACATGTCCATGTCTGCTATCATCACTTTCTGTCCAATCACACCATGCCATGCTACAGTATATAAGGTGTCTCAAAAATGTACCCAAAAGTATATCAACAGCATAGACAAACCAATCAATATTTTCAGACATTTTTTGCATGGTCTTGTAGATAAAAGATGAAAGTTTTTCCCCTATTCACAGTTTTCAATATTCAGTTTTGCCTTTTTGATACTTTAACCCGTTACCTTTTACACCATATATTCGATGTTACCTCATATTTCGATGACAATCTGCATCCTTACTACAACATATTGTTCATCACATTTGATATTTCTGGTGGAATGTTTTGATTTCTGCTCGGATGCTTGTCTTAAGTTGCTCTAGGTCTCTTAGCTTGGGTTCAGCATCAAAATGGTCCTTCAAATAGCCTCAGAGAAAAAAGTATGGGCCGTCAAATATGGTGTATAGGGAGGCCTTCACAATGTCTTATAGCCCCCTTATACAGAGAGGTCTGAGGTTCAAGAAACTGCATTGGTTGGGATTCTAGTGTAGCTTTTGTTGTGTGTATCAATTTGAGACCACAACTGTTTTCATTTGGATATCATTTCGTCTCCAGGCTAGCCTGCCTAAGGTAACTCCTGAATCATTTGCCGATAATTGACCAGATTATCTGTGTTTGCTCTGCCATTGTCATCCTCAAACATCGTTCTCTGTGGCTATTTGGAGGAGTGTTTAAATGCTCATTCCAAGCAAAAAGACCTAGAACAACGTAAGGGCAACATCCAAATAGAAATCCAAAACATTCCACCGGAATTATTATCAAATGTGATGAACAATGTAGCAGAAAGGATACAGGCTGTCATCAAAATATGTGGTTACATCGATTATGTGGTGTAAAGGGTAAAGGGTTGAAGGATCAAAAAGACAAGACTAAAATAAAAATGGTGTATTTGGGAGAAAACCTTCATGTTTTGGCTACATGACCATGAAAAAAAATGTCTGAAAATATTGATTGGTTTATCTGTGATCTTGATATACTTTGGGGTACATTTTTTGAGACACCTTGTATATATATATTGTACAGCTTGATTAATAAAGAAAAAATGTAATAAGGAAAAAATTAGCAGTGTAATTATTTAAAGTCATTAATCAGGGGCATAGCCAGCTTTCAGTCAGTGCGATCGTGGCATAAGCGAGCCAAAATAAACATTTATTTTGAATTGTACCAAAATTGATGCAACTTCCTTGAAAATTGAGAAAGAAGCTTCAAATACAAAACATTCAAAAGCTCTTCTTCTCTCTAATGGTTATGGCTACGCCCATGTTAATGATTAAAGTAGGTATTGATCACGTCAAGTTATTAAAGTTTTTTTAAAGATATATTTATTTCATATCAAGATATTACAAAATATACATCCCTTCAATCGCCCAAGGGCATTTTAGAAGGGTACAGTAAGATAAGACAAATACAGTATGAATAAAAAATAAAGTCAAGGGGTTAACACTGCACTTGAGGTTGGCCATATGTTAAAGGGTTGAGACCAAGATTTTTACGCTCGTAGGTCTAAGTTCAAGGACAATATAAAACACAGAATACATGTCATAAAGCCTTGTAATCTGAGCTCCAATCCCCATTATATTTATATAATTTACCATTACAGCTTGATTCGTGGTGTCAAACCAACAATAGAATTACGGAACGCCATAATCTTCATGCTGTCGTTCGGCGTTTTCTCAATGTTGGTCGCCTTTGCCTTCCAATTAGTGAGAAAGTACGTGTACAACGATGTTTCTAACGTAGATACAACCTTCGATGCAGGTGGAAAGGTTTCGATTGGGCTAACGGCGACCACTATTGTATCTCAGATGACTTGGACTGCAACTTTGCTGCAATCAACTACTGTTGCTACGAAGGTATAACCATGGACACATCTATGTCAATAGCATAACATGTTATCCCTATTGCAGGCAGTTTCCCTTTAATCTATATCGACAAGGCAAACGTTTTTTTATCGTATTTGTGTATTATAATGCATAAACTAAAAGCATTCGACTTCGGGGTACAGATCTCGTCGCTGGCGTCGTATGATGATGATAAAGTTGCACACTTTGAATACATCGCCGTTCCAATCTATACGTACATCATATAACGTAGGAGGGTAGATGGAAATTATGCCTGAATTATGAGCGTTACAATAATAAAATATTCATATTTTGGTGTCTTACACTCAACGAACTGATCCGAATCCTTAAATCGTCCAACTATCGTGAATGAACAGTTGCGGTCTTGGAAATCAAGGGGGGGGGGGGGCGCAAAAATGACAAAAAAGTTTGGGCCCAACTTTGAAATGTTGGACCACAAACTCAACTTGTGATATGGTACTTTTTGAACACACATAAAGTTTAACGTCAATGTTCATGTAATATTGTTTGTAATTTGTAACACGTGTGATTATCATGTTCATCTGAACATGGCATAATCAAGAGCACTTTAAATCTCTCCGCCGCTACTCAAGATCATGTATAATACTCGTACATTCCTTTTATACCGATTTTTAGAGTGCAGTGACCTATTCTAAATATAATATATTCTTAATGGTTTGAAAATTGTATCAGAAAAAGCTGTTTTTATTTGTTGAAATAAATTAAATATACATATATAATAAGGCTCGGTGCAATTCTTAAAAACGGTGGTATCTAGATATCAACACAAGAAACAATTTATATATGTTCAAATGTATTGTATCATAAATACACAATGTCTAAAAAACAAATTGGATTGAGGAGGCGCTGGGTGGTAAATTTTTCCAGGGAACTTGTATATCTGCAAATGGTCGGTTGTCGCATATATGTACCAAGTCGTTCGATAAGTTATAAAAGTGCTCTCGCATTTTTACTTTTCAATATAGAGATTCTGTCACTCGTTTGTAGCATACTTGTAAATCCCTTGCGTTCATAACTTTTTTTGTGTACTACGTCATCATTTGTCATGTATCTTTATACGCCTATTAGTAGCCAATGACAAATGATATAGTGAGTAAATCCTTAACTCTAGTCAGACGTCAGTATTGGTCTGAAATCACAGTGATAATTAGCATAAAGTCTAAAGCATAAAGAAAACTTCAGTTTTGATGAAAATTATCAAAATTATCTATAAAAAATTATAATCTTTACGTATATTAAAGAATTGTCTGTAAGGAAACCCAAAATTTAAATTCACTTCTGCTTATAACGTATAGCTATACACATTAACATAAGTAATACTTGTCCTTATAAGCGAAATCTCTCCATCATCTCATTGAAACTTCTGTCTATCAGAACAAAGAGAGAATAAATTGATATACCTATGCTGGATGCTCAATCTATTAGAACGTGTTGATAAAAAAATATGGATTAGGCTTAAACGACGATTTATTTCAGTATGGTATAAGTGGACCATTGTGGTATGGGGCTGCAGCAACGATACAGACGTTCGTTTTTGCCATATTGTCCATCCAATTCAAGACCAAAGCGCCAGGGGCTAAAACATTTCTGCAGGTACTATCAATCGAGATCTGATATTCTTGCCTCAAGGATGGTAGGTCTCCTGGATCAAGTTTTCATTTAAATCACGGAGTTATCGCCGAAACGGGCATTTCTACTGCCACTTAAAGTTACATTTTTACAAAATGTCACGATTAAAATATGTTAAAGAAAAAGTATGCATTCACCGTGTTCTCAAAAATTGAGTCATGACAGAAAAGCATATTTTCATAATTATCGTGGTCATAAAATTCTCCAAAAATGTTTTAATCTTGATTTATGCAAACACATGTTTTTTTATCTTGCATTTATATACCTTATACAGTTGAAACACTTCTTCGCCTTTGATATCTTTCAGGAATTTCAACTTGACTTGAAAAATCACCTTATTTGCACGCACATATCCAAAGGGCGTAATAATTCTTATTCAAATCATCGTTCATCGTATCGGCACATATAAATTATCAAAATTTCACTTGAAAGAGTTAATATAACACAAAACAGTTTACCATGAAACACAGAAATATTTAGAGGTTATGTCCACTATGACGTGAAATATGCCTGAGTTCTCCCAATATAGGCCGACCTTGGGAGGCTCTATATTTGGGCAAGAACTCAGGCATATTTCACGTCATAGTGACATAACTGATGTATTACATGCCTTTGTTCCCATGGTTACTTTGTATCAATGACGTGACGTCATGATATTATCATGGTTATTAAAGAAATCTAATATCAAAACGAGGTAAGCGGGCTATATCGGGGTAATCGGGCAATATCGGTGGATATAGCTCGCTAACTTTCCCATTGACTTCCATACAAATGCTTCGCTAGGTATGTAATACTCTGATATATATCCTTACTAACCATATACACAAATAACAAGGCTATAAGTTAATGCAAATAGATGATCGCAAGAAATTCCCAGGTCGAATTAATTTTTTAATATTTACATCAATTTATGTTGACAGGTAATCCGTGTGCGATTTGGTAAGGCGACCCACATACTATTTTGTGTCTTCGCAGGGATCACTAATATTCTAGTGATGTTGATGCTCTTACTAGCAGGGACGGCTGTTTTACATAGTTTAATTCTTGATCTTTCGATGTCACTGGCCTGCATTCTTTTGGCGTTTCTCATCGGCTCCTACACCCTCATTGGTGGTTTGGGCGCAACGTTCTACGTCTCCTACTTCAACACCAGCATTGTGTTCTGTCTGATGATCGTCTTATTGGTCGAGGTGTTCCACAAATCATCGGATAACGACAGTAACCCACTTGGAAATGCCAATGCAATGTACACCTATCTACATAATGCAGTGGGGCCAGTTGGCAATTACGAACGGAGTTACTTGACTATCATGTCCTCGGGTGGTCTGATGTTTGGTGTCGTGACTATGGTTTTATCATTTAGCGTTATCATAGGCGACCAGTCTTATTGGCAGAGTAGCATAGCGGCCAAGCCAATCCATGGAGTCTGGGGATTCATTGCTGGTGGACTAACGTGGTTTTCAATACCGTTTGTAATGGCTATGACTTTTGGACTAGCGTATCTCGCGCTTGGAGAATGGCAGGGTGCGCCTTTACTCTCCGACGATGATGTAAATAAAGGTATACTAAGCTTGTCTTCGCGAATGCAAATAGCGGCTACCGGCTACCGGATTAACATACTATTTTATGACCAACTCATTTAAATGGCAGGTACTATTCATATTTAAACGAGGTATCAATAAGATACTAAGTTAATCTGGCAATCGACAAGCGTTGGTTGCAAATACAAGGTAAGTTGTAACGTGACAATATTAAACTGTAGTGTAGGGATGGAATGCCAAGTCAGGTGACCACTCGCAGAAAATTCAAAAATTGATCCTTTTAAAGTAGCAGCTGTTTGTCCCTATCTATAAAATTATTTTCTAGGTCTTGTCCCTCCACTGATTGCCCAAGTTCTCCTTGGAAGGTTGGGAGAGTATGTGATATTTATGCTGATAATAATGGCCATAATGTCTACAGGATCTGCTGAAGTGATAGCAGTTGCTTCACTCATTGTTTATGATGTCTATCAGCCTTATCTAAACCCATTCAGGTAAGATGAACATTATTACGCTTTCATTATGATATTTAATTTTTCTCCCAAAATAGTGCCCTTTCACTTCATAACAGTGTAATACTGAGAGATGATGGTCCCTTCCCTGTACTGGGACCAAATATATGTATCATCATCAAATATGGTAGGCCGATTTTGAATGATGTACAAGTGTGTAAAATATCAGGGAGTAATTCTCTAAAATGACAAAGATATGAAGAAAACACAGGGTTGGCGTTTTTTGACCACCCTGTATATTTTAAATACGTTTTCAAGAAACTGCAGAGGGTAGAATCCTGTCGTCTTCATGTTCTTCAAAGGAGTTGGTGAAAGGGCAAAGTTATTAGTTTCAAAAACGCCTTCAAATAGTTCAAAGTAAAAATCTATCAAGTGGTCGATTTGATAGCAGTCCGGTGTAAAAGAAATTATGGTCACTTTCCTTACGACCCCTACTGGCCCTGACTGTGTATAAATAATAAGGAAAATAATTGTAATTGGGTCACCATATAAATCAATAGAGAGTAGGACCAAAATTTGATATGACCACCTACCCTTTTACACCTGTCTTACTGTAAATGTTTATGAAAAAGGGGTTGTTCTTCAAATGTTACCCTTTGTGCATTTGTTAATGAAGTATTTAATTTGTTTAATTTGTGTTTCTTTTATCTAATAGGGACAATTTAAAAGGAGATTCTTGCGTGTTATGTGGAGAAAGATTACGTTCATTCGAGCACGCTGAAACCAATGAAAAAGAAGAGTTCTGCTCTTGTAAACCTGCGATACAATGCCCCGAATGTATAGACGACCGCACAAATCAAAGAATCAAACACACGAATGGAATAACGGTAAAAAGACCATACACATGTTCGGTCCATGGTCTTTACCAACAATATCAAGAAGATTTGGTTGGCTATAAAAGCTGGTGCATACTCTGGGTGACAATGTTCACTATACCGTTGGTGCTGTGTTCAGACTGGGTGGGATTGAATCTCGCATGGGTGTTTAACTTCACAGGGGTACTCATCAGCTCCGTTGGGATTCCAATATGTCTGAGCATTTTGTGGAGCATGACAAATGCGAAAGGGATGATATCCGGTAAGAATAAACCACCACTGGTTCCATTAGAAAACCCTCTGCCAGAATTGTTCCTTATTAAACATAAGATGAGGTTGATCTTTGACTAATGTTGTAGATTATGCATAAACAGGGTGACACAAAAAAACACCTACTTATTTTGGAATAACTTTCTCAATAAAGAAGGATTTTTATGAATTTTATGTGTAGCAAGAGTCTTCATTGGAAGAAAGATTGGTATGCTTGAATAGCATCAACATTTTGTAAACCACGAGATATCTCATTTTCCGTGGAGGCATGCTCTGACACAAAATCACTCAGAGTGTAAATGAGAAAATCAGTATTTTCAAAATGTCCTCATTAAGCGAGTCAGTTCATCAAAACTGATACATAAGAACAATAGGTATGTGTAACATATTTATGACATATTAATGATAATTTATGTGAAAGCAATCCAAAAATGACTCAAATAATGGCTAAGACGGAAATTCAAATTCGAGAAAATTGTATTTTTGAACAATTTTTGACGATTTCAACGAGAGCATGTACTTGTACTAAAGACGTGATATCTCTTAATCTCAAAGTTGTTGAGTTCTTCCATTAAATACTATCTACACACAAAAAAGATTACTTCATTATTGACTAAGATATTCCAAAACTACTTGGTGGCATTTTTGTGCCACCCTGTATTTAACAACACGAACTTTCTGTAGGTCCATGCTAACATCAGAGTTAAACGTGAAGATTAAAAAGGTGATGTATTTTACCACAAGGCTGATACCAAACCTGAGCCTGCTAGTTTGATTGACTGACTAAACCAACTTTATTTTTTATGAAGGTGTTATATTTGGCTGCGTCTGTGGCATGTCACTGTGGTTGGGGACAGCGTCAAGATATGAAGGAGGACTCTCTAGGTTTCTTGAAAACACAGGTAGAGAAATCCCGATGCTTGTTGGGAACTGTGGTTCTGTGATTACTGGTGGAATCACATGCATGGTCGTATCATTCTGCACAACAGATAGGAAGCACTTTAATGCCAGTGACGTTTGGGAGAAAATGAGAAATATTGAGAACCCGCTACATCCTTGGATAATAACGTACGCGCGAGACTTCGGCGTTACATGCAACGACAAATCAGAATATATTCGCCCGACGCATGAAGCGATAAAAAAGATTTATCGAAAGCCTTTCATCTTGGCTTTGATCGCTGGCATCAGTTTGTTATTTATTTTCATAGTTCTGTGGCCTGCTGTGATGGTTCCATTGAAGGTGATGACGAGGGATCAGTTTAACGTTTGGGCAACGTTTTCTCAAGCCTACGCGTTTATTGTCGCTGCGTTCATTATTTTAGTTCCTTTGTTGCAAGAAATTTACCTTATTTTCGGCAAGGCCAGAAAGAACTACATCAGGAAAAATACAGATGACAATATGGCGGACTCAGAAACATTTGAATCTTCATTATTAGAGAGGGTGTCCACGATGTAGGAACCTTTTACAGTGGCATAATTTGGTTTAAAATGAATTAAGCCACGTTTCTTGAAGTCATGTGTCGTCGATCACACATTTCAAAACATTCTTAGCATCTCACCTTTTTGCAAGTGTTTGTAAGGTTAGATGGTCAACTGACAATTTAACATTTTGACACCTCGTCATATCTGCTTCAGTTTAATCCCCCTGGAAAGCAGGAGGAGTGAGACTGCTGGTGAGCATATCAGTGGCCACTGATAGAGCATAAGTTGTAAGAGTACGAGTTCTAATAGGCCTGTGTTCGGAGGATGGTAAAAGTGGTAATTTGCCTAATCATTTAATTTGCCTAATTATTGGCTTTTTTGGCAGGTTTGGACAATTAAATGTCGGAAATATTATCTCCATCATTTTATCCACAGGAAGTTTATTGTCATTCAGAAAATTAAGATTAGGAAAATTATAGAATTTGACCATTTCAGCCCTGGGCATTAATGGTGGTAATAATAGTAATAACGTTACGTATTTCAAATTATTGCATAATATTACTAATACTAGGCTGCTAATTTTAAAACGCTATGGAACATGCATAAGTTCTGTATATAAGCACGGGCTTTCAAGCCCATAATATAACTTCCTTCCTTTATTGTTCCGTTAATATCATTCTGGAGTATTGGTCATAAAACAATGTATAATATAAATGAAAAGTATACGAATGGGACAATCATATGTACAAAAGATACGAAAGCAATTAGTATCGTGCCCAATCGTTTATTTACTTGGCTTCACCTTTCTTTTGGAACCATTTATAAGTAAATCGTTTTTATTTTTCAGTATATTAGGAGTGTCAACAGTAATGTTAATTTTGTTCAAGAATTCACCCCATGAATTCATTAGTTCATTATCGTGGTTCAGTAAAACAGGGTGCAAAACTAAAAGAGAGAATGCAGGTTTCTCTTTTGCAACCATTGTTTTTTCCAAATATCTGTATACCAATTTAGAAGCCACAGAATCGTCGATTTAATACCTCATTTCTAACCGATTTCGTAACCAGCGTAATCGAGTGGAGTGAATGTGGCCCGTTTGAGCGGTATTTGTTGCCAAATGAAGGCAGCTCTTCATAAAACTTCTTCAATTTTGCAAACATACATTATCTCAAATAACGGTAGATCGGACTACTACTAGATCCCTCCAATAAACGACGCCCCCTTTTGATACATCGGGGAAAGTACTTTTGTAAAATTCTTGAAATCCAGGGAAAGGATTAAAAATTGTTACAGAACCCAGGGAGAAAATAAGCTTTAACACATTTTCCCATCTCATATATCATAATATGTAGTTTGTATATGGTTTTCAAACAATAAATATATTGCTATGTGATCTAATGTCGCCACATATTGTTATATTATCCAACTTTTGTGGATTGTGTTTGGTGGTTGGTATTTGGCAGTTGGTGGTCAGTTGGTGGCATTCCGATTTCGACGATCAGCATATGAAAGAATGGCAGGTGGAATGATTCAGCCAAAATGCAAGGAGTCCATGGCTTAAATTCTTTTAAATGTTTACCCCATCTACAAGTGTGCTTGATTGAATAGTATCGAACAAACTTCAAATTCAGACTTGAAATGATATAATATGCTGAGTCAGCTATTAGCCTGAACTGTCATCCGTAAAATATAAAAATAACACTGCAACATTAAGGATTTCATGATACTGATACTAATGTACAAAATATACTACTGGTATTACAGTGTGCTTTAAATTTGACATCGATTTCTTCTCCCCCCCTCCATAACCACAAGCCAGACGTCATCAACAGTTATGTAAAGTCCAAAGTAACCTTTAGAAATTGTTATATTTTATGTGTTTCCAAATGTTGCTCTTTGTTCTTCCTCACTGTGATGTGAAATAATAAATTCAGTATTTGACTGCCACTTTAAGCAAACTGTATATGAGCAATTGATCTCAAGGAAGCGGATCAATATATAATTACCCAAATGCGAGTAGGTAGTTACCAGTTTCACCACCAGGTGGCTGATTCGGGTCAATTAACATGGCAGGTATATAAGAAAGTTCCCTTAAACTTGAATATTATCAATTTAAGTGGCTCGATTTTCATATAACCCTTATGTGTCTGATACTTATACTAATAAAAATATGTCCAGTGAAGCAAAATATTATCTGTCCACTAAAAAAAGATATTTCATTTTTGTGATTTTATAGCATGGGGTCTATGGGGAATCTCCCCGAGCTAGAAGTCACATTTTCAAAGAAAATTATTTTATCAAAATTGATAAACACTTTTTAAAACCACATTTCTAGATGTAATTATACATGTAGATTTCAAATATGATATTACTTTGACTGAATTTTGAATTTTTAATGACGTAAATCAAGATTATTTCTACTCGCATCTGGGTTATTGATTGATTTGAATTTTTGACTTATTAATTACTTCATGTGTTTTTAATGTTGCCCCTTGTTCTTTCTCATTGTGATGTCAATCAAAAAAGCTCAATATTCTTTTCTGATATAGCCTAGTTTTGCAAACTTTTTTGTAGACAATTGATCTCATTGAAGTATAACGAAGATCATTATTCAATATCTTGTTTGCATTGACTTGTTATATTTTATATGTTTTCGAATGTTGCCCATTATGCTTTGTCACCATTATGTAAGATAATACCAAGATGATCAGTTAAAGTCTTAAATGACTTAAAATAATGATTATTTTGATAATAAATAGAAACAGTGACAATAATGATGTGAAAAAGTGATTTTTCCTTGAATAGGTCATTTTATACATGTTAATAGAATGACCTATAATTTGAAATATAAAGTTCAGAATGACCTTATTTTTGGATCTGGTTATCAAACAAAGTCTATTCTTTGATATCCTGTACAGTTTTTCTAGATATCTTGGGGGCTAATATAGGGTCTTAAAGACACTCGTCCTTTGAACCAAATCCGTCCACTGGTATTTTGGGTAATCAAAGATTACATTTTGACGACAAATGATATTTTGACAAATAGCGGCCATCTTGTTCTATCGGATAATTTCCATGGCCGATATCACATTTCCCTCCCGAATAAAATTCATATTCTATCCCTCTCATTAAATCCAGTGTGTTAAAAACAGTTTTTATTTGACATTGCCAAACTTTTGTTTATTAACCATTTTTAATCAATGGTGCCTTTGATCAACCTTGGTTGGTTGGTATAGGCCAGTGTCCATAAATAATGAAATTGATAACGAAATGGATTTTAAGCATTCTGGTAAAGTTTCAAGGCATTCTGGTTAAGTTTCAAGGCTGCTGTTGTTTTGTTGCAGAACATATTTTCACAAATTACTTGGATTCCAAGCAAGAGATGGTATGACTGATTACTTCATTCTGTTCTAACATCGGTTCAATTTTGCATATTTTTGAAGAAATGAGAACAATTTCTAATGTACACAATAATAAAATCTTAAGTGAAATTCATCATTCATGCCATCTTTTGACAGATTCAGTCTTCAAATACTATCGGACTATGGGTTTGGATATGATTTTTCATTTAACTGATTTTAAATAAACACGCCAGATTTAAAATTATTATATAATTATTTTATTCATCTATGATTTAAGGAATACATTTTGATTCAATAATCGATATATATTTTGCACATATTTATTTTTGTATTTGTACATTCACAGCGAAACATCAAGGAATAACAGCACACAAAAAGCTACATAGCATTAAACAAAATTTATAAACATAGTAATACATTTTTATTCAAAAACTAGCATGAATATGAGTTATTAACTTAAACACAATCTGCCAACTAGTGTAGAACTACACATTATCAAGTCCCATGGATGATTTATGCCGTCTGCTACGGAGGTCAATGTGTAAGATACATGTATGTTAAACGGATTTAGCATGTCGAATGTTGATACGATTTAAATTCTAGATGGTCTGCACTGCACTCATGCAGTCATCAATTTGTCACTTGAAGCAGTACATGGCAAGATAGTATACAAATGTAGATGCTGCAGACTTGTAGCACAAATGTTCTATCCAATGTAAGAGGAGTGAGCCTGAAAATAAAAAGGAAAAAACCAGCAATGGTTTAATTTTTGAATCTACAACTGTTTTGATGTTATGAGTATTGGCTATCAATTTTTAATATTTTCTTCAACATGTATTGTAATGACTTCGGTATGAATGAAAATGAAATGCCCCTTGGTGCGTACTGGATTGTGATATCGGTTCTCGATTGAAGAGGTGAGGGTAGATGGGGATGTTAGACATTATTTCCTTTCATGTTCGATCATTGTTTTGCGATATATAGAGTCTATTGCCAGGAGGGCAATACAAATTTTCAATTTAGACAAAACTGGAAGTATACATGCTTATTTTGAAAAAGAAAAACGGTACAGAAATCAAACAATGTAATTAGGCCTATGTATAATTGTAAATATGTTTTATTCTTGAAATATAGTTTTTACAAAAAAATAAATAAATATAGAGTCTATTTTCCTATAGCACCAACATAAATTTCTAAAAAGCAAGCCCAATTTCCCTATTACTATTGAAAAACGATTCTAGCAATCTCTCCCACATGAATCTACTCGTTGAGACTCGATCAACTTAAGTTCTTCTGAGAAAATGAGGATTTCGGCAAGGGTGCCATTGAATTAACATGGGGATGCGTTGACAACATGTTAGGTCAATGGTCTCAACGAGTAGATTCACGGGGGACAGTATGACTAGAATCCATTCTCAATAATTAGAATAGGGGTTCTTAAACAGGATATTAAAGCTTAGGTAAGGCCTATTTGAAATTTTGGTGAGTACATCTTAGTACTATAATGACAGGTTTAAACTTAAAGTTTGATTTGCTTGGCTCAGTACTGAAAAGCTTCCTACTGCCCAATGTGCAGGAAAAATGTGTTACTATTGAATAATTATACTGAGCCAGCAAAATCATCAAATAGTAAAACATACCTAGACATTCCTTTCATTGACTCTAGTAAATGTTTCTCAGCCTTGCACCCCTCCTGGCTCCAGATTTATATCATCAAGTCTACTAACTGCCTCTCCAAGGCAAGAGGTATGTAGATCACAAATGCTGCAGGTAGGTAGCACAAATTGTAGATTCTCTGTGGTTTTCCCTTTGTGGTTCTTTTTGTTCTCTCCAAGGCAAGAGGACTGCA